TAGATATGTTTGATCTACACTATTTTTGAAACTTTAAATTTTATAATTAAATATAAAAATATATTTTAAAGCTATCAAAAAGATTTGGAATATTGAAATTACTTTTCTCCACACTATTTGAAGATAGGTTCTAATTTAGTTGTGTTTAGAGCCTCAGCCCTATACAAACTACACCCTTCATTTATTTCTAGTAGTTTCCAAGAAAGAGTCTTTTTGTAGTAAGTGCATGTCTACTGCTGATTGGGCTAAGGACAAGCTTTCTATTCTTCGGGATAAAATTTATGGTTCCCTCATTAAAAGTCCATTCAGAATAGACTGGTTGGGATGATCCCAATGTCATGTTTCTTACACTATTTAATTTTAAATTTTTATGCACTATTTTAATGTTTTTTATAACGGTCTGGCACCGACGTTCAGTCATCTCTTAAAATTGCACCGATAAAAAATATAAAATAAATATTTTCAATAAAAAAAATGATCAAATTGCTTTTGGTAATTTGATTATTTTATTTTATCAAAAATACATTTTTAATATTTTTTATGTGTAAAATAATTATAATTTATTAAAAAAATAAAAAATAAAACAGTCTAAAGCGTGCGTTAGATCTAGATGAAACGCGATTCACTTGATCAATTGGACTGCTGGATAGAGGGAAGAGCATAGAAACTTTTCCTATTTGGTAATAGTAAAGAGAGAAAGAGAGAGTCTGAAGGCAAATTGACGCTGTTGAATTTAATGTTCATGACATGGGCTTCTTGTTTCTTATCTTTAAATGACACTGCGTTTTGGACTCTTTTGTGAACCTCAATAATTGACAGGCCACATTTCACGTTGCTGACGCATTGCAACAACCTTTTGCCGATGGCCAATTCAACTTGGTTTGGTCTATGGAGAGTGGTGAGCACATGCCTGATAAGAAAAAGGTCATTTCCTTAACACTATTCTTTCATTTTCTTATTCTTTCTTTATTGTCCCTTTCTGTGATTTGTCCCTTTCTGCGATTTGCAGTACCACAGTTGTGTTTTTTATTTTGGTTTTGGCTTCTGTTCTTTATTTGTGAATGACCAAATTCATTGAATCTGTTTCCTGCATTAAAATTTGAATGCTTTTGCATTTCTTTTCGAGCAGTTTCACTGGCATTTGAAGTAAGTTTGAGATCAAAATCCAAGGTCTTAATTCAAACTATGGTGGATAAATTTTGTTTAATGTTTTGGGTTACTATCATGGCCACTTCTTTGTTGATCAATGGTTGCGCACCTCTTTGTACGCCAATGATTGCTGACCTATTTATTGTCAAATAGAAAATTCGATCTTTGTTTCTAGCCATTGGATGTCCCCATTCAAGTTTGATTCGAGTTTCTATAGAGGAGAAATCGGTGTAGGGTTTTTGTCTCTCACCTTTAGAGTGTAAACCAAAGAGAGATGCAATGCTTCACAGGGTTAGGTTGTATCCTGGTGGTATCCTTGCCAAAGCCCCATTGCACATTGAGAAATAAGTTGGGAATTCAATGCCTTGAATACATCAAGAGATCTCGTACCCTCCTAGTTCAAATCAAGCAAGGTCTGTGTTAGGTTTTTGCTTGTTCAGCTTTAGAGTTTGTTTCGATCAAAGAGTTAATGTTTTTCTACCTTGTTGGAATTCTCGCTGCAGTAACGCAGTTGACTATGTTCTAGCTGCTTTTGACATGAGAGTTTCATGCTATGTGAGCTTTATGCTCAGTCTTATTGCTTCATGAAACCATACTGCAGCCAGCTGTTTTTCCTGTGGTTGAAAACGTAAACTGAGCATTTATTGTGCTTAAATGGTCATGCTATAGTTCGCTATTAACATTATCATTATCATTGGAGCCTTATCCCAACTATTTGGGGATGGCATAACGTAGACTGAGGATTCATGGAAAGTTGTGTAGATGCTGACTACCTACCTAACATAACTCTACTCCTTTACCCGGGCTTGAGACTGACTGGGGCCAGCCAAGCTGGAGTTCTACAGTTCACTTTTAACGCTGCAGTTAAACACTTGAAATGATGTTTTCACTGCAGTTAACAATTCATTCTGTAGCTGGCATTTTCACCATAGTTAAAACAATTTATCTAAGTTTCACTGCGATTAACACTTCTAACTAGAAAGATAAGTTTTTTTTTTACTGTAATTGATAGCTAAACTAAGATCTCACTACATTGAACTTCTTTCAACACAGTTAACAGTCCCTACTATGGTTAAGTAAAATTCCCACCATGTTAATGATTTTTTGCACAACTAAATATGTCCATTACGGTAATTTAAGAGCTCAAACGCTCTTCCTTTGATCTGTTGGTGCTCAGTTCCATTGATTCTGTTATGCAACCCTTTATTATGAAGCTAAAAATCCCAAATCTGAATTTTGAGGACCCCAAAAACGACATTTTCTACCATAGTGTATCTCAATTAACAACCTTGTTATTTCTTTTCATTTCACATGTCCATTTGAGATATTATTTGGCAAGAAACCACCGTCCAAATTATAATTTCATAATTATTTCCACTCTACTTTAGAGGAATAACGTTGTACTAAAATAGCATGATTCTTCCGTAGTGGAGAAGGTTTTATCATTGGCATAATGCAAGGCCGTCTCCCATGAAAAATGAATACGATTCTTCACATGAATGTAACAAACAAAACCCCGGATCGTTCTTCTTCATTTTTGAATACTTGAGTGGTAGGAATCAAACTTGAAATGTAGTATTGCAACAATCGATAACTGACCAAGCAAACCCAAGCTTGAATACTCAAAACTCAGGATCTCATGTCCTCTGCAAGATAGGACTCTGTTTTGAACCAAGCTCATCTAGGAGGTGCTTGCTAAACAATGCTATATGCCAACATATTGTCCTTAAGCAGGCACCTCAAACTTGTTTTGAGAAATTTAGTAATTTCCTGGGGGTTTGAGCTAAAGGATGCTGCAGTGAATTTGAGGACTACTTTTGGGATAGAGATTAACAGATGAAGATGGCCATGCATCTCAAATAGGTATTGATTAGCACCACTTTGCGAGCAAATTTATAAAACTGCAAATACCCGTAGCACTAACAAATTGTAGCTTGAGGATCTTGTAAATACATACAAGCACCTAACAACCTTGTAAGTTCGTGGGTTTTCTCATGGGTGTGCTACATGAATTGGTTGGTTTGTGTTCTAGATGCCCACGATGCCTATTGGGTTCATGTTCTATATGGTAAATGGTCCTATATTGACTCATTGTGTTCCACTAAGAGTCTCAACTCTTATTATGGCCTATGGAGAGAGGAAAAAGCCTTGTTAGCATTGGAAACAAGAGTGTTGAGACATGAGCACCTACAAAGAATCACGAGACAAATGAGGCTTACCAATTGGAGATATATTCTCTTTTTAGGTAGTTTAGTGGGGATGAGGGCCTTACCTGTGGTAGGAATAGAATTCAAGATTTCATGTTGTGGCGACCCACCACGCTGACCACCTAGTCTTGAGCCCATTTTAGGAGATATATTTTATGATGTGATAAACAAGGTTCAAAATACCGGAGCTGCAGAGGTCCTAGTCCATATAGCATAGTAGTGGCCAATATATCGGAGTCCAAAACAGAAAAATAAATTGATAACTAATTTTTACATATAACAGTTTAACAGTCAATACTTGAAAATATTTATATATAACAGACTTCTGATAGATATAATGGTGTTTTTTTCTTCACTAATATATCTAAGAAATAATGAGCTTATAACATATATGACACATTCTTGTTTGAAGAAAAAAAAATATAAGGGCGTGTATCACAATCTTTATTCAAATTTCAAGAAAGGAAAATATCGGCCATCTTGTTTGTATATAATGTTGCTATTAACCTCAAATGCTGATGTTTACCACAATGTTGAAAAAGGCGGAGGCAACTGCCTAGGCGGGCACCTAGATACCTGGGCAGGCTTAAGGAAAAGGGGTTGGGGTGGGGGCCATGTATTGTTTTGTGAAAATGTATATATGTGTTTAGTGTGTGTGCGTGCATACCCGCATATGTGTGTGTGTGAGGTCTCACATGAAATTCTTAAAGATCATCCTCTTTTTTCTTTTGGATTTATATTTGTGAGAGAGAGATCTCAAAAACTTGGAGGATATGGAGAGAGAGAAAGAGAGAGATTGTGAGAGAGAGGGACCGCGCATCGAACACTTGAAGGTCATCTTTTTCTTTTTCTTCTTCTTACATGTAAAGAGGGAGCATATGGATCCCATGTGTATCTGTGTGTGTGTGTGAGAGACAGAGGCCGTGCATTGAACACTTAGAGTCCATCTTCTTCTTCTTCTTCTCATATACAAAGAGAGCATGTGGACTTGAGAGAGAGAGACAGAGAGATCTCAATACAAGGCTTTATTTTTGTTTGGGTGGATTTGAATTTCTTTTTTTTTTTTTTTTTTTTAAGGGGTGCCACTGGGTAGGCACCAGCCTTGAGCCGGACTTAGGCATGCCTGCCCTAGACCCCACTGCCTAGGCGGTTTGTCTGCCGGGCAGCCAACTTTTTTCACCGGTTTATCATATTAGGTGATTTGGACTTTATATGGTACAATGCCAATTTGTTCTCAGGTGAGAAGTTTCAAAGGAAATTAAGGCAGATCACGTGCCATCTTTATGAACAATTTTAGCAATAAGTAGACATTCCAAGTACACACAAACCTGGGGATAGTAGTAAGTTTTAGTCAAGCTAGGATCACTGTCTTGTATGCTCAACTTGGGGAAAAAGCTCTAGTATATAAGAGTTGCATTATGGTGGTGGTGGTTTTTTTGTTGGGGGGATGGGGTGAAGAGAGACTGCTTAAATACCCATATAGAAGATAAAATTGTTTATTTAGAGAGTCCCCTATAATGTGTGAGAGTTTTGTGCTTTACTACCTCTTTGAAGTTTATTGAATTGATTTTTTTTCCTTCCAGTATCTTCATTATTTCTTTCTATTCTTGTTACCAATTTCTTAAAAAGGTTAAAGTGGTCTTTGAGTGCTCTTAAAAAATACTTGAGAGAGAGGGAGAGCAATTTGATGCATTTGCTTGTACAAGGCTTCATAGAGAGTGAAAACCTTCTCTTCATTTGGTTTCAATTTACAGTTTGTGAGTGAGTTGGTTAGAGTGGCGGCCCCTGGAGCCACCATTATCATTGTGACTTGGTGTCACAGGGATCTGTCTCCTTATGAAGAGTCGTTGCGTCCTGAAGAGATATATCTCTTGAATCGAATATGCGATGCTTATTACCTTCCTGCCTGGTGTTCAATGGCTGATTACGTCAACTTGGCCCAGTCCTTTTCTCTCCAGGTACATACATACGCCATGCTACTCACTCAAATATATAAGGTTGCATAGGCGTATTTGCCCTGCTACTTTCTTTTCTCAGTAGAAAAACCAAATTTATACCTCTCTTTCTCTCTCTCTCTCTCTCACTCTCTCGTTGCAGGATATCAAAGCAGCCGACTGGTCCGAGAATGTGGCCCCATTCTGGCCAGCAGTTATACGCTCCGCCTTGACTTTTAAAGGCCTCATGTCGCTCTTTAAAGCTGGTAAGATTCTCATTTCTAAATTCTTCTTGTTTCCCTAGGAATCATTTCTTCAAATACTTTGTAACGTGTTGCATGTGGTACTTTACATACTGTTGTCGGTAGTATTTTTTTTGGTAAAGTCAGTGGGGAGAAGCCCCCTACCCAATTTTTCATTAATAATAATAATAAAAATACGGCTCAAAAAGTTACAACCATAAAATGGGATATTTGTGCCATATTATGAAGCAGTGCAAGATAAATAAAATCTGGTGGTCTTGATCGCCAAACTTGTATGTTGTCAATAGTTAATTTTTCATTTATATATGAACTGGTTTATCCTCAACAGTGGTCTTTTAAACAATGGGAAAGTATTTTGTAGGGCGATGGTTTTATAGAACTGCATCACAAATCTACCCAAAAAATACACTTCCAATGGTAGATATAGCGCAAACCTATCCTCAGCCTCAAACAATCTTGGATATGGGAAAAGTAATGAATCCCAAGTCCTCAAAACAGTCTTTTGTATTCTGAACTGTTTATTTCAAGTGTAAGGCACCATGGCCAAAGCCCTACAAAATCTACACCCAGTAATAATGAAATTGCACTATGATTTTATTATTTATTAATGAGATTGTATACAATGAGACCATTTATTTTTTGTATAAAGAGTTAATAATTATTTACAACTTTTTGATGTAAAATCTGATAGTTTGGGTGTGTCACAAAGTTTGAGATTTTTTTTTTTTAACTTTGAGTTTGGTAAATGACATAAATGTATCTACCTAATTTTAGTCAAATTAATTTTTACCATCTTATATCAAAGATAAATGGTTTCATCGTATACTTTCCTTTTATTCATTATATAATATGAGTATGAATCATGAATCAAAAAATTTGTCACTTGTACTTAATCCGCCCTTCTTTTTTTTTTTCTTTCTTTTTTCTTATTTTGCAAATAGGATGGAAAACCTTTAAAGGGGCCCTTGCCATGCCTTTGATGGTAGAGGGGTACAACAAGAAGCTAATCAAATTCGCCATTATCACATGTCGAAAACCCGAGTGAACAACCAACAACAGCTCACCACGTGTCCAATAAGATGTCCAATAAGATTGGAAAAGACGCATCTAACTCTGGGTTTCCGCTTTCGCTTCAAGCTGTACTACAATAAACCGTACGCAATTGATTATGGGAATTCCCATTTTTTATTTTTTTTTATTAAAAATATTTGCACTTTTTCCATTCAAATTGAATTAATATAGAGCACGTGGAGAGCAGATGGGGCAATTGCTATAGGACACGGTTTTGGTGAGTCCGCTAGCTCACCTAATTTTTACTATAATAACACTTTTTACTGTATTAAATCAAGGCAGGCTTTTTATGTTTTTTCTAAGGCATAGAAGTTTTATTTCTATCCAAGTGTCTATTTTGAATGGAGAGTTAAGATCGTCCCAATCACAATGACATATCTGTACTCTATTTTATTTTTAATTTTTTTTTATAAATTATTTTGATGTCAAATTTTGGACGTCCATTATTCTATTAAACTTGCACGAGCAAAAAATATATATATAAAAAATTTCAATAAAATAAATAACCAAAATACCCTTAAAAGATTCAAAGGGTATTTTGGTTATTATATTTTATCAAAAAATTAAGTTTAATATTTTTTATTGGTGCCCCCAATCGGAAGATGACACATACTAAATTTCATATTCATACAATTTATATATAAAAAAAACTAAAAATAAAAGAGTTTGAGACGTTGAATTTAAGATCAAATGATGAGTGGCTCTCTTGATCAAAATTGGATGGCTGGATGGTAAGGGGAAGATAGAACTTGTATCTTGTAGAGGAAGCATATAAGCCTTTTCCATAATGAGAAGGGAAACCTCGAATTTTATTCTAAGTCTAATACTCTAGTATATAGAGATCTAAAATTACTAAAAAAATCTACATGTAAAAAGTAAAAAGTAAAAAGTAAAAAGTAAAAAGTAATTTCTCTATCGATTATTAGCTACATTTATCTAATTATTCATGTTATCCAATAAAAAGGAAAAAACATAGTGATCCCTTTGTTTTTTTAAAGGTGCGGTTTGTATAGAGTTCAAGTTCTAAACAATCAAATTGAACTTACCTTTAAATAATGTCGAGAAATGTGGTTTCAATATTGGAAATCTTTGTGATAGCCTTA